AAGCACATCAAGAGACGCTTCAATTCTATTCGAGATTTAGTCCAAGTGGGAGACATAGAAATTTGCAAGATACATACGGATCTGAATGTTGCAGACCCGCTGAATAAGCCTCTTCCACGAGCAAAACATGATCAACACCAAGGCTCCATGGGTGTTAGAATCATTACTGTGTAATCTAGATTATTGACTCTAGTGCAAGTGGGAGACTGAAGGAAATATGCCCTAGAGGCAATAATAAAGTTATTATTTATTTCCTTATATCATGATAAATGTTTATTATTCATGCTAGAATTGTATTAACCGAAACATAATACATGTGTGAATACATAGACAAACAGAGTGTCACTAGTATGCCTCTACTTGACTAGCTCGTTGATCAAAGATGGTTATGTTTCCTAACCATAGACATGAGTTGTCATTTGATTAACGGGATCACATCATTAGGAGAATGATGTGATTGACTTGACCCATTCCGTTAGCATAGCACTTGATCGTTTAGTTTGTTGCTATTGCTTTTTTCATAACTTATACATGTTCCTATGACTATGAGATTATGCAACTCCTGTTTACCGGAGGAACACTTTGTGTGCTACCAAACGTCACAACGTAACTGGGTGATTATAAAGGTGCTCTACAGGTGTCTCCGAAGGTACTTTTTGGGTTGGCGTATTTCGAGATTAGGATTTGTCACTCCGATTGTCGGAGAGGTATCTCTAGGCCCTCTCGGTAATGCACATCACTTGAGCCTTGCAAGCATTGCAACTAATAAGTTAGTTGCGGGATGATGTATTACGGAACGAGTAAAGAGACTTGTCGGTAACGAGATTGAACTAGGTATTGAGATACCGACGATCGAATCTCGGGCAAGTAACATACCGATGACAAAGGGAACAACATATGTTGTTATGCGGTCTGACCGATAAAGATCTTCGTAGAATATGTAGGAGCCAATATGAGCATACAGGTTCCGCTATTGGTTATTGACCGGAGACGTGTCTCGGTCATGTCTACATAGTTCTCGAACCCGTAGGGTCCGCACGCTTAAAGTTCGGTGACGATCATAATTAGGGTTTTTGTGTTTTGATGTACCAAAGGTTGTTTGGTGTCCCGGATTTGATCACCGACATGACGAGGAGTCTCGAAATGGTCGAGACATAAAGATTGATATATTGGAAGCCTATATTTGGATATCGGAAACATTCCGGGTAAAATCGGGATTTTACCAGAGTACCGGGGGGTTACCGGAACCCCCCGGGGGTTATTGGGCCTACATGGGCCATAAGGGAGAAGAGGAGAGCCGGCCAGGGCAGGCAGCGCGCCCCCTCCCCCCTAGTCCGAATAGGACAAGGAAGGGAGGGGCAGCGCCCCCCTTTCCTCTTTCTCCCTTCCCCCTTCCTTTTCCAACAAGGCAAGAGGAGGGAGTCCTACTCCCAGTGGGAGTAGGACTCCTCCAAGCGCACCCCTAGGGCCGGCCGCACCTCCTCCTCTCCCTCCTTTATATACGGGGGCAAGGGGGCAACCCATGACACACAAGTTGATCTTCGTGATCGTTCCTTAGCCGTGTGCGGTGCCCCCTTCCACCATATTCCACCTCGGTCATGTCGTAGCGGTGCTTAGGCGAAGCCCTGCGTTGGTAGAACATCATCACCGTCGTCACGCCGTCGTGCTGACGAAACTCTCCCTCAACGTTTTGCTGGATTGGAGCTCGAGGGACGTCACCGAGTTGAACGTGTGCAGAACTCGGAGGTGCTGTACGTTCGGTACTTGGATCGGGAAGACGTACGACTATTTCCTCTATGTTGTGTCAACGCTTCCGTTGCCGGTCTACGGGGGTACGTAGACTACACTCTCCCCTCTCGTTGCTATGCATCACCATAATCTTGTGTGTGCCTAGGAATATTTTTGAAATTACTACGCTCCCCAACAGAAGGAACCGGTGGTGGTGGCGCTTGGCGGCGCCAGAGCGGTGGCGCTTCCCGGCGTCGGCCACCATATCAACGTTGGCGTCAAGCGGCAGGCGGCTGCCCTTGGGCTGCTTCTCGGAGGACTTGTTTTTCTTCCGGCCATGGCTGGCTCGGCCACGTGAGAGGAACGGGAAGGGGATGGTAGTGCAGCTACAGCTGGTTGGCGGCGGTGGCGGACGGGGAGGATGGCTGGCGGCGGCAGCTCTTGAGAGAAAGAGATGTGCGGGAGAGAGAACTGAGGAGGCAGCGAATCGGAATGAGGATATCAGGGGAGGAGGCAGCGAATCGGAATGAGGATATCGGGGGAGGAGGTAGCGAATCGGAAAAGGGCACTTGTTGACCTAAGACGTGAAATGACGATAATACCCTCGTGGGGGCACCGGAATGTTGGCGATGGCTCAAGATCTTTACAGTGGGGTGAAACTGTTCATTGCTGCAGAAGCGAGACTTCGATCCGACAGCTGAGCCCTTCCACACGCGCGATCGGATAGCCGGAAACGCATCAAGCAAATGAAAGGACGGCCGGATCTCCCTGATCGCTGTGAGAGCTCGGTTTCCCCCGCTGTTCTTGTTTCTGGATGAGACGCTGATGGGCCAGGGACCGAAACCAGTTTGGGTGCTCCTGATCAAAGCACGTACGTGGGACTGAAACTCCCCATTTCTCTCAGTCTGTTGTGCCGATCAAATTTCCAACACAAGCTAGGTACAAACCCAGGAACCAGGACCACCACGCACCACCTTGCACCACGCAACGATCGATAAAAACATAAAGCTATCTATCTAGCAAAGCCAGTACTGCTGCAACTTGGCGATCATGTGCACGGTCTTGTCATCGCTTTGGACCTAAGAAGAGGAGAGGTCCTTTTAACATTCACTGCCTCGCGAATGTGACCAGCATGTGATCACCCCTTGTAGCCCTGATTCGTGACATGCTTAAATATTGGGGTTCCACATATCCACCCACGCATAAAGAAGAGGAAGATTCACCGATTCACCACAAGTGGCGCTCAGTTCAGCAAGAGTATATATATTATGCGTTTGCAGCCTAGATTGATCGATCGATCACGCATGTACACCAATCATTTGTTATATCAGGGGAAAGTGGCCTTGCTTTGCCCACATATTTGAGGTTATGTGGTTGGCTCCCAAGCGTTCCCTCCTATGCCTCCAATTATTCCAACCCGGCGAGGGCGTGTCGGTTCCTTGTTTATGCATGTAAGCCTAGCTAGCGCACGCAGTTAATTGTTCTTTTGGGCACCAAAGCATGCGTCATCATGTGTCTTTCCACGCATGGCACGACGATCCATCAAAGGTGGCAAACCAATTAGGTGAGGTCCCCCACTTGTAAACCATTGGTGGGTGCAGAAAAATCATCAACATATGCAATACCAAGGAAATGCTCGCTCGTTGGACCGGACGATCATGTGCCACTGACACTCAAGGCACCGATTTTCGGTCGCTCGCGGCGACGACATTTTCACGAAAGTGCAGTTTCTGGGGACCAAGAATATAAACTTTACGGTGTCCAAATGCATGAACAGTCAAGTGGAGTCCAACTCGTGGCCTGCCTGACCAGTTTTTGCAATGGGGCACTTGCTAAAACCTCTTTACACATAGTGGCGCCGTTGTCCGCTAGTGCACTATTCTTGCACGTTAAGGCATGGACGGGGCATTACGAGTACGAGCTAGGCTGCCATAGAGGGCTTGTGCGACGTTGTGTGGCCGGCTACCCTTGCTTCTGGTCCAGTGGCGCGGGTGGTTGTGCTTGGCTAGCAATCGGAAGAAGGGTTTTCCAAGCATCCATACGGAAGGAGAATCTCCATATGCATGCGGTGATGCCAATGTCGACCTCTCCATATGCCCGGTTGAGTCAAAAGGGCGCGAGAATAAAAGGGCCGGTGTTTGGAAAGAAGCTCATATTCGTATACCCTAGCTAGGGAGCAGCTTACTGTGTCTGATGGACTTGTGTAGGCCAGATTCGGTGACGAGAAGATTTGGTGTCCCCCTACTGTTTCTACTCATCCTTAAAGAACAGGAGAGCATAATAATCGGTGCTTGCAAGCCGGAGATCCATCGAGCGGGGATCGAATCGGTGCCGATCGACGTCAAATTATACTACGTTTGATTGCAAGATCAATTAAACAAAGCGGGTGCATGACTGTTTAATCACAGCCAGGTAGGTGAATGTGATACATCATGCATGCATGTGTGAGCCAAGGAGTAGTCATAGAGTATTCTTGGTCGTAACACGTGATTCGATGCTGCGTCTGTGACCGACCGAGATCGATGGAAGCATGGGCGCAGAGACTGCTCGAGCGCAGGCTGCACCGGCCGATGCATCATGCACTACTCGATCCGCCTTCTCGGTAATCGGTCGCATGCTCGATCTGTCGTGGAATTTACTCCGCCACCAGCATGCAGTGCCATGCATTGATCTGAAGGCGCAGGCTTGGCCTTGGTAGTTCTGACTTCTCACACATGCATACATGATCGGTCCATGCATTTACGAACTGTTGCCTCGATCGCATGCCGGCTTCTCCCTTGATTGCATACCATATTTTCTTTTCATTTTCCACCAGCAACAGTTACCACGACCAGGTACCATGCAACATACTAACAATACTAGCACAACAATAACTTAACAACTTCTCAACGGAGATCACACATCATAACAAGCTAACAATGAAGCAATAAGTAATAGAACAACTATTATAGTGCAGGGTGAGAAAAAGGAGGGCTACTTTGTCACACCCATTTCTGTCATAGCTAATAACGGAAGGCTAATTACAAGACCTTGCGAGAAGGATACAGTAATAGAAACCTTCAAAGCCAAGGCCTACTGGCCTAGCAAGGATCACTGCTCGATCTGGATCTTATATATCGATACCAACACGCATGCATGCATTGTTCTACTAGATGAAACGAAAGACACACCAAGTCCAAAAACGAAACAAGCTAGACTTGATGTACTAGCTAGCTATATAGCCTGCTCGATCTCCATGTTGAGTTAGAGCTAGAAGGCTGCTAGCTGATGAATTAACCCTTCTTTGTCTCGCTGCTCTTCACCAGCTTGCGCAGGAACTCCTTTACCTGCATAACATGACCAAGCCAGGTTGCACATATGAAAACAAAATTCATGTCAAACTCAAAGCCCATAAATATTAACATTTCATTGCTTTATTTCTCCAGACAATCAACTTTACCGGGAAGCAGTCCGAGAGCATGTAGTATATGTCATGCACCTAACGGCTAGCTCTACTACTGCAACAGTGCCAATATATGGTAGTTCCTTTAGGTAGGTAGGTAGCTAGCCGTGCTAACTTTAGAAAGCATAAAATGACTGCACAAAAATAGGCATGCAGCTATTATACATTCCATATACATGCACATATACATATATATATATATATATATATATATATATATATATATATATATATATAGTGGACTATTGTGTATACCTCAGCAGGCTCACGCAGAGAATAGGATGCGCTAGTCTCCTTTGGAAACTTTGTCACGAGGATCCCGATGCCTTGCCCCATGTTGTGCAGCACCTATTTTAAATTTTGTGCAAAAGAGCGTCAGTACGTTTGTTCTTTCAACGGATGGATCGATACCGTGCATCAGCACAAAAGTGGACAGGTGTACCGCGCACTACACCTCGAACGCATCCTCGTCTGTGCGGTCATCCCCGATGTATATCGGAAAAACGTCGCCACGCCCAGCAAAGCCTGTGAAGAGAAAACCATCATCAAAACTTTATGTTAGTAGCAAGTAAGTAACAAGACATACATGAAGTAGCAACAATATTTATGCATGCACTATATTTTTTTTTCTAAACAACGGGCTGCGAAGTCGATTTCCTTTAAAGAAACCACCCGAGTTTTTAGTAAATCTTTTTATTGTGTTTCTTTTGCAAAGTTTCTATGGCTATGGTTTTTTCTTGGTCCCTCGTGTAGTTTCTGTGTATGTTTGTATCTATACTGAGAGTATATTGTTTAATTAATGACGATATGCAGTTTCTCTAAAAAAAGAAACCACCACGTTTACGACAATTAATCGTTTTCTTTGCAGGCTATGCGCTGCACGGCGGCGCTTTCTAAACAAAACTACGGGCTGCGCCGTCGATTTTCACTGAAGAAACGGCCACGGGTACAACAATTAATCGTGTGTAGTGTAAGAACTCACCGAGAGACTCAAGCAAGAACTCGAGGGCGTTTCCCTTGTCCCACTTGATGGAGGGCCGGATCTCGAGGACCTTTCTCCCCTCCGTGAGGCAGAGTTTCGGGTAGTCGTGCAGCACCGCCCTCACCTCCCTGCCCAGAGCGTCCCACTCCGCCTCCTCGACGCAGCGGAAGTGCACCGAGAGGCAGAACTTGTTGTTCTCCACCATGGCCCCCGGGATGGACTCCATCTTCGCCGTCAGCGTCTCATACACCTGCAAAATCATATTCTATCAGTAGCTAGTGGCAGTAGTGGACTTGATAGCAAGAAAAAAGGACGCCGATGTTACTAGTAGTTGATTGGGAATATTATCTGTTACGTCTCAGAAAGTTTAATTATCTCGATCCCACTGGTGAAAGACAAGGTCAGGTCGTGCATGCCTACCTTCTGGATGACAGGCAGGAACTTGGTCGCCGGCTGGCACAGAACCTCGTCAGCCTGCGTAGACAAATGCAACAACCACTCAGTCACGCAGCTCACAAGCGACTTAATTACCGGGAACAAAAAAAATTAGGGGCAAGGAAAAGTCTCTTTCACGACGAAAAGCGGAGACTGTAGAGAGAGAGAGAGAGAATAAGTCAAGAAGAAAATTGGGAGAAAGGGAGATGTCGACTAACTTAACTAACCTTTGCCTTGTGGTTAGACACTTTGGTGGGGCCCTTGATGTCCATGCCGTGGCTCCCGGCGTAGTACAGCTCCTCCAGTTTCACAAAGTTGAACACCTGCGTACATATTGCACCATAAATACAAATACAGTGCTCTTTTGTTTCTTTTGTACGTAGGCAAAAAATACTGCAAGTGAGAAGAGGCAACCGAGGAAAGGGAAAGGGTCCCTGCCTTTGAGCCTTTCTGTGGGCGGAAGTACTAGTAGTGCAAGAAAACGCTCATAAAAACGCTCGCTATGCGAACTCTTTGCATGTACTTTTGTGTGCATAGCGTCTAGGTTCACGCCCGCAACCAACTGCGGCATGCATGCCATGTCATGTGGGCGGTGAAAATCACGCCCAAAAATTACAAAAGGGAACCTGGAAGATTCCGTTTACGGTGCACGCTGGTGGAGAGGGAAAAAAAAAACAGGCACCAAAGCAACAACAAAAATAAATGCTGCAGCAGCACCAGCAGCAGCAATAAATGTAGCACTACGGGATATATGTTGGCACTGGAATGTACCTTGTCTCTGCATCGCCCGCTCACGATGGCAGTCGGGAAATGCTGCGCGACGCCCCTCACCGCCTCCCTCATCTGCGTCAAAGACCCACGTTAATTAACAACACAACAGTGCGAGGGAACCTTATGAACAGATCTGCTCTGCTTCGATCGCGCCGCCAGGAGGCGGCAGAAGACACGAAACGAGGGAGGAAGGAGACTGACCTCCTCAGTCATGACGGCGCGTTCGGGGTCCTCGACGATCGGCGAAAGGGTGCCGTCATAGTCGAGGAACATGACGATCTGCTTCCCCTCGGCCGCCGCGAGCACGCCCTCGAACCACTCCAATGCTGACGGGTGCTTCTCCTGCGATTCAGGCGAAGATTCTTCAGTCATGAACTGAGAGAGGGAGGGAGGGAGGGAAAGAAAGCAAGCCGTGGCCATAGATGCATGTCAAAAAAACTTACGATCCACTCCTGGTCGGCGCCGGCGGGGGACATGGCGTGGCGGGGCGAGGAGGCCTTCATCGAGTCCAGCAGAGACCCGGCCATCAGCACCCCCGATGTGGCGAGATCCATGCGGCCCAGGGCGGCCTTCCTGCAGTCGCGCGCCCTCCGCGGCGGGAACGACGCGAAATGGCGACCCGGCTGCGCCGGCGCCGCCACGGCGGTGACCGCGTCCTCGGCAGCAAAGGCGGCGTGGTTCGTCATGACGAGAGCGCGGACCAGCACAGGGGAGAGACCGAAGAAGCGGTGGGAGAAAGCAACAAGGTGCGTGGGCTTCAACGGGAGTAACGGACGAAGAGAAGGAGAAGCTGATGCCGATGGTTGCTGGGGAGTGGAGGAAGGAGAGGGAGGTGGTTTGATGGTTGGGGGCGGTGGACTTCGGGTCTATATATAGGGGTGTAAGCCGGGCCCACCTCTTGGAATTTTTTACGTGGAAGTGCCACATTTTAATGCTTGGGAAATACATGGGGCAAAGAAGAAGAAATGGTATGTCGACATAATTCCTAGCATTTTGCGCTTCATGTCAATTGTGTTTGACAAAAATTGTGTATACTGCTAGAGTTATAATGAGGCGATATATCTGTCCTTAGATGCTAAATCGTGTGACCATACATTTCTTCAAGTTACTTTCGATGATAATGTCATATGATTTTACGTGCCAAATATAACTATAATGCCATAACATTTCGAAGAGGGATTTGATTATTTGAATGTTGTTGCTCCAAAAATAGCCAAACGCACTCATCGACTCAAACATGAATATAATTGATTGCTACCATTTTATACCGGTGCATATGAATTATGGTGGCTAAACACAGAAATGGGTTGGAGCGTCTACTTTAATGAAAACCAGGAAGGATGCCCATTGTTTTAGACAAATAGCATAGACGCTGGATTAAATCGGGGGTTACCAAAAGAAAAACATAAATTGGTGGTTATTAGAAGAAGGGAAAGAAAAAGAGTGGCAGTTAGGTGCTACGTACTATTTTTATACCATTACGTGTATGAGTTGTGATGGCTAAACTATGGGTTTGGGCGGTTTCTTTAATGCAAAACAGATATGATGCCCACTGCTTCTACAAAAATAACAAAAGGCGGGATAAAAGCGACCGTTATTAGAAACGACGGTTACTGAAAGAAAAAATAATATAAAAACGGCGGTTATTAGAAGGAAAATGAAAAGATG